GTGTGTGTGTGTGTGTGTGTGTGTGTGTGTGTGTTAGCTGAGATTTCATTTTCTAACCAGTTGTGTTTTCTGTCTCATTTCCTGGATGTTTTGAAATGATACCGTGTATTGCTTTTATTTTGCAGTGGGGTTTTCTGTAATTGCCATTTTTTTTCTGTCTCACTGAGCTTTCTCTCCCATTGTTGCGTTTTCTGATTGTCAATACAGTTTCTGAAACATTGCAGTGCTTTTGGGAATGCTGTCGTTTCCTACAAATTGGGGTTTTGTCCAATTTTTGCAGCTTTTCTGTTCAGATGTGTTTTTGGCTGGGGTAGGGACTGGTATTGTGGTTGGCCCTGTCACACGGTCCTGTCTCTTTCTGCGCCACAAACTCACCACAACTGGTCGATGTCACCTTTTAAGACCCGGCGACAGGGCAAGTAAAGGCTGACAGGCCATTGTTAGTGAAATACATTCCTCCCTTCACCGCGGTACGAGCAGTGAGGGATGTCACCCACATGGAGGGTTGATAGTAGCTCTCTCCAAATCACGTTCTATTACGGAGAACTCACTCGAGAGGCCATCCAAGAAATTGAAGGAGAGCCGGTGTGACGGGTTCACAAGTTCAATACAGAAAAGGAAGGTCGTTATGTGGCAAAGTGCCTTCGGCCAAAGTGATTGTTGTAAACAAACATGTGAAACACGCTGAGCCCTGAAGAAAAGCTCAGAGATAAATGGACACTTGAGTCCTGTATCGATCTTTTGCAGGTGCTTTGGACTAATTAGGTAACCAGTTTTTTGTCCAGCCTTATTTTCAGGGTGCCTATAATTACCTGACGCAACTTTAGCCAAAGGTTTCCATTTACAGTTTCTCGTTTTGTTGAAGAATCCTCCATTCGCGTCCTCAGTGTACCTGAGCRGCAGCCTGTGTGAATTAGAGCCGTCTGTTCCATGTGTGCTTTTAAAATCCCTTTCCTTAAATAGCTGTGTGCTAAAACCCTTCTTACCTGCCTCGTTGTGCCAGACGGTTTCCTCATTGAGCCAGAAACAAACACACAAAAGGCTGCGCACTTGAAGCTTTGGTGGTGGCAGAAATGAGACTGGCATCATCCCAAATGAGAAGATCCCTCGGAAATTCTTGCCTCATTTTAGCGACTGCATTGCAACGTGACCCTTCGTGACCCTAATTAACATTCTACCTAAAGGCAAAAAAGGGAGTCTGGTCTGTTATTGGCCAGACGCTTTTAGAAGTCCTTAGCAACAGGAAACAAATTTAGGCCATACATTTATATTAAGATAAATCCCTCAGGAATTTTTTTCCGTTAGAATCTGCCAATGGGTTATATTTTAAATCAGGAAGCTGCTTTGTATTTGTTTTTTTACTAGTCATCTGGGCATCCTTTTTAATTTTTTTTATAGAAGTTATTCTTTGTCTCAGAGAAGGAAAAATGTCTCATGCTCTCTCAATCTGCAGTTTAGTGTCACTGCTGCAGAAGCCACACAGCTTGCCAACAACATGACGTTGCACTCGGTTTTATGAGCACTCAGAGAAAAATATATCAGGTTTGACTCGCGCTGATCTGTTTTGCGGCTTTGGAGATATTACTCCGTTTGTGTCCATGCCAGACTGTTGCCTCTTTTTGAAATTGCCCATCCATCCAGAATGAAAAAAAAAAGATGCCAAAGAGATGGCGGAGTTTGTTTAATCTAAATRGCAGTGCTTACGATAAGACCTGGTTATTACTGATATAGGAGGGATGGCAGGATCAGAGATTACACTTCATCCAAAAAACTTTATTTAGAGTGACATAAGAGGATTCTCACTGCCTTATTTCACTATATTCAAATAGGTCATGGCAAATTTCAGATAGAGCCCTGTCACTCAGCTCCAGTGCGTTTATTTATTTATTTTTGCAGATGGCCATTGCATGAGTCGCAGCTCAGTGGTAGATTTATGTCATGCAGAGATGGTTTCTTTCTGGTTATCAGCCTTGAAGTCATGGTAACACATGTTGCTGTAAAAGGATTAGTGGTTGAGATTAAAGTACTTTCAGTAAGATTTCCTGAGAAAGAATTCTGTTTATATTATAAATGACATGTTTACAATCTGCTTTGTTGACCAGATTTTATGGTTGAAGAGAAGGTTTGAAATGTGGGTCAAATTTTCAGAGGGCCACATGAGTGTTATAGTGGCCCTCAAAGGGCCAGTTGTAATCAACTTTGACATTTCATGTTTAACTTCAACTAAGAACAAAACGTCTCGTTGCTACAGCTGAGCACTGCAAACAAACACTAACTGAGCTCTACCTGGTATTCCCTTCATAGAAACAGCGCTTTAACAAATCCTCTTATAAACACTGAAACATGCGACTGAATAAATGTGAAATAAATAATATAGAAATAATATTAAAAGTAAAAGTAAGACTTTTACTCACTAGCTAGCTATGTTTACATGCACACAATTTTTTGATTGGATTGAA